AGTTGGAACAGGAGCGAGCTGAGATACTCGCCAAATATGATAAGGTGAGAGAAGACAGCTGATGTTCATTTATGAGCAAACACCCTTCCAAAACACTTGGATGTAATACCTTTTCCCATCCAATCAGATTTGTCATATTTCACAAGCCGCAAATGTCACAATTAATTGTTCTTGTTTTCATCTCAATTATTCTCTATTCTAATCAGAGCAGGGTAAAAATCTGGTGTCAAATCTGCTGCTAAATCAATATGTTTAAAACAGGACCAGTGCCTAAACCAGGGGTTCTCAAAGTCTCGATTCAAAGATACAATAGTAATGATTTTGTGGTAATAAATATGAAGTTAGCTTTGGCTTTGTCATCTTTCTAAGAGTATTGTGCCTTGGCGTTTAAAAGGTCTCGTTATTTTCCGCCATAAAGTCTCTCATGTGTGTCCGGTTTGTAAATTGATAGGCTAAATTGAGTGTAATCTGAGCTCTCATTAGGGGGCTGTAATTCCGTAACGTGTGTGTTAATTGGATTGTGATAAGCTCTCCTACACTGGGATTGTACTCTTGACTCAGAGAGCACAACTTGCATGCTGTAGTACATCTTGATTGTTATTTTAATCTAACTCATTTTTTTTTAACTAAGATTTTTTTCTTATATTTGTTTTCTAGACTAACTTGGGTGTTGTTTAGTATTTATTTTATTATTTATTTTTTATATTTATTATGTTTTTTGTTGTGCCAAAAGCTAGTCTTTTGTTTTCTGTTTCGAAAACTAATTTGGCTGTTTGTTTTTAAGGGTTTTGTTTGTTTATTTGTTTGTTGAATGTTTAGTTTTGTTTTGACTTTTTTGTTTTCTGTTTTTCTTTTTTGTCTAAAGACTTACTTGACTGTAGTGGTTTATGCTGGTTTGTTTTGAAAAATAATTTGGCAGGCTTTTTAGAAAGTTTTGTTTGTTTATATGTTTGTTTAATGTTTAGTTGTGTTTTTAATTTTTTTTCTCTGTTTCTCTTTTTTCCTTTGAAAACTTACTTGACTTTTGTTTTGTGTTCGTTTGTTTTGAAAAGTTTGTTTGTTTGTTTGTTCTGAAGATTCGAGATATATTTCATTTGTTCTTTTGGTAACACTTTATTTTGATGGTCCATTTGAGTATTAGTAGACTGTCTGCACAATATCTGCTGAAACTGCTCCTTCAACAGACATTTAATTGACTATAAGAAACTTTGCAAGTGAATAATTTGATGCAAATGTCAACCTTGCCATGAAAAAAGTTTTCACCATATACCAAAACCTTTTTTTGTGAGTGCAAGTGTTTTACAGTACTTTAGAAATACTTAAAAATATATCTGTCAGTGTTTTTAAACTATTATATTTGATTTACCAAAATCACACTAGTGACAATTTCACATCTGTCACATCCATAACGGAGAGGTGTCACATCCATAACGACACTTTTTTTTTCCTCATAAATGAAAAAAATACTAAAGTCAATCATTTTTGTTCTATAGAGAGCCATGTTTTATCCTTTGATTTATCATTATTTCTTTTGAGTTGTGCAGTTTAATTCACAGAATTTCTGCAAAGTAGGTTGTATACTGTAAACTCGCTGACTTTTTTGTCACATTCATCACTCATTTTTATTTTTTCTCATTTAAAGTGCAACACATGCTTACAAAAACATATTTACAGATTAATATTTTTAAAATCAAACTATGCTTTTGTGTCAGTTTTCGTGAAGATTGCACATGTAACTTAGTAGGATACCTAACTATACATAAGATGTTATTGGCTGAAAGACTTCTAAGTGACATCTATTGAGTCAGATTTTTTTCCAGATTTCTTTAATTCATTCATTCATTCATTCATTCATTCATTCATTCAGTCAGTCAGTCATTCGTTCAGATTATCCAGGTAGCAAAAAATATCTTTTAATGATTTGCTATGGCATTCAACAAGCTTTTTAATGCTTTTTTATGTGCTGACACAACAGTTATTATTTTATGTGCTGACACAACAGTTACACTACAATAACTTTGAGCTAATGTGTATAAATAAACCCTCTTTAAAGCACGCATCCATAAAAACAGCACATCTACAACCCATGCCACTGCCGTCTCAGGTTTTTCATCCAGTTACCACAGAAGGAAGTGAAAGAAGGGAAGTGTGAATGTGCCCAAGTACTGATGCCATTTAATGCTCCCTCATTGTTTAAATGTCAGATGTTACTCAAATATCATAAAACACAAATTCAAACATGCTATTGCGTGCAATATTGTTCTTGCAAATTCAATAGTGGGGGAATAAATGGCTGAGGAGAGTCATGAGAGAAAGCAGAGGAGGAGAGAAGTGTCCTTGGTGTTTGTCACAAGCCGTAATATTGTCCACAGCCATGCGTGTCACGGTGACATGCTATCAGATTATCATATCCCACAGTAGATTTATGCCCGTGACACACGAGAAGCAGAGACACTGATAAATGACTGCGTGTGCCCTTGGTTTGGCTTTACTCATATTTTGTGTCTGAGTTTCAATTTTCTTTATACTTTTTTTAAATCACTCCTGTCAATACATTTTTCTTTTTCTCATTCTCCAGGCTTCTCAATTCTATTAACTCTGGAGCTGCCAGAATCTGTTAACTTCTAGAATGGCCATAGCTGTTTCTCTGACCATTCATATTAGACTAGGGCTGCACAATTTATCATGAAGTTATTGTGATTGCAATAATAGTATATGCAATATACACATCGCAAACAAACATGTGTGATAAATTACACTTATTTTATGCATTGGTTGTAAAGTTTTATCAGATAGGCCCTTACTTTCTTTATCCCCTCCTTCCCAGTAGTTGCTGTTCTGTTATTGGCTGGAGCTGAAAATAAATACTAACATTGAGGTTTTCACTCATTCACACACTAAAAATATAATGACAGAAATTCAAGACAACATTTTATTATGGTGCTTTAACTTATTTTAATATTTAATCAGACATAAACTAAAGTTGATACGTTATACAAAGTTTAACTTGGTGTTTTTACTCTGTTTGATTGATGAGATGAGTACATTGTGATGACTAGAAAAGTTAATTCATACAAAAAAAATATTTAATTTATACTAAATAATGTAAGGCAGCAAAAATTGTTTATGGTGTACAGTAGGTAGTTTTTTAGGGTGCACTCACACAGGGCTATCCGAACAGTGCCTCAGCGTGTTTGACCCCCATTTCTTAGTTCGTTTGACAAGTGTGAGTGCTCCAAACTGCGCCTGGGCATGGAAGTTTGCCATAGAGCGGTTAGTTTAAGCTTTGGCGTGTTACGCTTGTAGTGTGAGTGCAAAGCGTGCCTGAGTGGGAAACTAAAGGCACAACGTCACATTTAAGGGACTGTTTTATATGATTTTATTAATTATATTTTCTTTTCAATGAACGCAAACTGTCGTAGTTCATTAAATATGCACATCCCTCACTGCACGACAGCTGCCACCTTCAGAAAATCACCTAATATGTGCTGCACAATGACTTACATGAACGTAAATGAGCGTCAAATGTGGCTGATCTGTTTATCAAAATATTTGACTGCTTGTCACTGCATATCAAACAATTAAAATAATAGAACTCTAGCTATGTCCATTGTGCTTCTCGTCCTGTTAAACTGAACAGTCACATCATCGAGGACGTAAGCATGCTCAGGTTCAGAAGGTAAAATGCAGTGTGAGTGCAGGCCATTGAGGGAGAGTGGAAGGGGGGCAATTGCACTTTGGCATGGTTCAAAGCAACTGTACCTAGTGTGAGTACGCCCTTATAATATAAAACTCTGAAGTCTGAACTTACAAGGGGAGGATGCTGGACTGAACTGTGTATAGACTACTTAATATTGAGGAAAAAGCCCCAATCTTTCTAGTGACAGTTTTCATTTTTTAAACTTTAAAATATTATAAAAGAGAGACAGCTGGAGAGCCACACATTTTTGGTCAATGAGTCACATGTGGCTCCATAGGTTCCCTACCCCTGCATTATAGGCTTAAATTATAGAGAGAAATAACAGATAAAGCGAGACTGCAGTCAGATTATGAAGCAGATCAATGCTGATTTTTCTTTCCATGTATCAGTGCAGAAATGAACAAAACAATAGGCCTAATACAAAATATTAGAAAATATAGAAAAATGATCAAATGGTAACTTCAGTCAATTTTCATAATGGATCAACAGCACTATTATACGACTGTAATACACTGAGATATAGCCTGGTTTGTTACTTCATTTAGCTTTTTTACTACAATCCATCTGCTCCAGAGTTCATGTCAATCAAGCTGAGACCACCTCATTCAGGCGATCTTGGCCGATTGATTTGGCGAGGATCCAAGTGTGATTGTGAGATTTACAAATGTCAAACGAGACAGGTTTCGAAAGAAACGTCTTGGTGTGAAAGCACCTCAAGACTATTTGCACTCAATTGACAAACAGTCTCAGCCAAATTAAACTTTAGTGACAAGGCAGAATCTACTGTCCCGATCATCCTCGCATACTGGCATCGGGCCATTGAGCCGTCCTTATCGTCAAGCCCTGTTAATATATAAAACTAAATATTTATAGTGAATCCTATAATACCAGAGTGGAAAATGTTTTACAAAACTAACTTTAAATGTTTTCTCCACTCTAATCAGCTCTGAATAAAGTTAACTTTAGAAAAACTGTTAGTAAACAATGACACAAAAAACACTAAAGGTTTTTTTAATATTTTAAAGGTTGTAAAGGTTTTTTTTTCCAACCTGAGGCACCTTCTCTCTTTATTTCTGCTGTTTGTATAGTTTATTTTGTGGTGTACTGAAGCTGTCCACGTTCAGCCCACCCCTCATTACCTGCCTTAAATATGTATGAACAACAAATTCACAGATCACTGGAGCCAAACACTTTTGAGCCTTCAGCGACTACACACACACACACACACACACACACACACACACACACACACACACACACACTTAAACGATCCCTCAACTGATGTTATTTGTGTTTTCAGGGTAAAGAAAAAGCGGAGGTGGAGCCGTGGGAGGAGACCAATTTTGAACTGTATAAAGCAGTGGACCGTTTTGGATTCCTACAGTAAGAAACTTACATTTTTTATTTATTTATTTTATTTTACACTTCAGGCCCAGGTGTAGGGAAGAACTCAGAGTCTTATCTTGGTGTTCGTCTGCTCCGTTGCCCTCTCCTGTTTTCTGGTCCTCTTGGCAGGGAGGTTTGTGGTTTACCGAGGCCCCTTAAACAGCAGTGCAAAATGTGATATTTATAGGGTGCCACATGTGTCTGGCAGAACAGGGCTCTGTAATTGTAGGGGAAGATAGACGACAAGCAGGAGAGAGAAAATACTAAAAAAGATGGAGCAATGAGTTACAAACTGGAAATGTACTACAAAGTGTAAGCAAATCAGAGACAGAGCTGATTTAGCAGCACAGACATGTTTTGCTTTGCACTTGGAAGGTGTGTGTGTGTGTGTGTGTGTGTGTGTGTGTGTGTGTGTGTGTGTGTGTGTGTGTGTGTGTGTGTGTGTGTGTGTGTGTGTGTGTGTGTGTGTGTGTGTGTGTGTGTGTGTGTGAGAGAGAGAGAGAGAGAGAGAGAGAGAGAGAGAGAGAGAGAGAGAGAGTGAGTTTGGCTTTTTAATCTTTAATTTATTTTGTTCTTTTTTGTTTCCTTTGTCAGTCAAGCTCTTTTTTATTTTTTTATTTTTCATTCAGTTTAGTTTGCTTTAGCTTTTGTTTTGTTGAATTTTTTTATTCTGTTTAGTTTTTTGTTTGTTATGTGTTATTTTGTTTTTTTGTTTCGTTTGGTTCTTTTTTTTGTCCTATGTTTTGTGTTTTATGTTTTTTTTATATGTTTTATTATGTTTTGTTTTGATAGCAAATTTTTCCTTAGTCTTTTGACAAAATTGTCATTTAGTTTGCAATATTTTAGTCCTCTGAATCATTATTTGGTCTAGTTTTAGTTGACTAAAAGTCAGAATTTTTGTCTACGTTGAATCAATTAAGACTTGACATATTAGCTATAAGAATATTAGGTATCAGTAGAACAATCAATCTACTCTGTCTAAAACTACATTCTTTTAGACACATTAGTTATCAACGGTGGACAGAGTACTGCATGATTGATGGGACTTACAGCGGGGAAAATAAGTATTGAACATGTCACGTTTTTCTTGGGAATAATATTTCTAAAGGAGCTGTTAACATGGAATTGAACCAGATTTTGGTTAAGACACAAACAACACAAGTGAAAATACAACAAAACAAAAAAAAATTTAAAATTAGTTGTGTAACAACAATTAAATGGCACATGGAAAAAGTACTGAAATACTGAAGCATATTTTATACTTTCTATAAAATGCTTTTTTTTTTAGGTGATGGCAGCTTAAAGATGCCTGTTATATGGATAGTGAAGTTACATCTATGGCTCAGATGTGATTTCTTTCTCCAGTTCAACAGAGTTTAAAAATCTCGGTGGTTCTGTGTGTTTCGTCTGTCAAATATGATCTTTATTTTAGTTTATTCTGCTGGATTCAAGTCAGGTGATTGGCTGGGCCATTCTATAGCTTGATTTTCTTTCTCTGAAACCATTTGAGTTTCCTTGGCTTGTGTTGTTTTTTTAGATCTTTGTCTTGCTGAAATGTTTACTGTGGTTGTATCTTCATCTTTCTGCTAATATAGATGTTGAACTGAAACAGCTACATTTACACTGAGGAAGGTCAGTGAGGAAGGCCCTCTGGAAGGTCAGAGGGTTGCTGAAGAACTGCTGAGAGATTTCAGCTGTCTGGGCTTTCACTGCCTTTACACAACTCCCTTTCTTCATGTGTTCAATACTTCCCTGCATCATTTTTTGTTGTTGACATGTTTAATACTCATTTCCCCCGCTGTAACTGCACACAACAAAATCTTTTAACTTCACAATATTTGACTTAAGATTTTTTTGACAAAACAATACCCCCCAAAACAATCTTATCTTATAATGACATTCGTCTTTGAACATATCAACACACACATGAAGACAAAGATTCACTTAAGTAAATGGCTAAATAAACTGAAGATTGAAGTAAACAAAAAAAATCAGCATGTTTTCAGTCATTGTCTCACGGGAAAGTTCTCTGCTCTGCAGCATTTATTAACTGCGACTCATTTCATAACTCCAGGGCCCATTGTCTAACTAAATTAATTTAATTTTAGGGTTGCGTTTTCACACTAGACTACTTGAAGGGCCAGAGAAAAGCACCTAAGGAGCTGGGTTTGACTTCACAGTTGACAAGCCCTATGGCTTAAAACAAACTAAAACTGTGCCAGACACAAGACTGAAAACTATGAATGGACAACCTCTGATCCACTCATCTAATAAATGAACTGCGCAGTGCACTGTATTATAACAAAAATGTATCTTGGGTCCTTTTGATCTTTTTTTGATCCATGTTTTAGTCTTTTTTTTCAACAATGTTGCCTGCGGTTACTTTCAGTATCTAATGACACCCATGTTGTCCAGTCTTTGTCTCGTATTACTCTTGGGAAAAAAGGTTGTCAACAAATATGTCTTTTTTTATGTTTTTTGCTAACAAATTTAACATTTTAGTTTCTTGGATGGTGCTTTGTTTTTCACTTCTTTGTTTAAAAATTTTGTATCTTATTTAGTCAAGTCAAGGCAAGTCAAGTTGGCTTTATTGTCATTTCAACAATATACGGTGCTGTACACAGTCAAACAAAACAATGTTCCTCCAGGAAGAAGGTGCTACATCAAACAACATAAATTGACAACTTAACACAGGACTGTGGACTACTATAAAAATATAGAAGAATGAAATAAAATAAGATAAGATAAACTAAAATAAAAATAAGAGTAAGAGCAATAACAGCATTAAGAGTAAGCAACATTAAGTGCAAATAAGACAGGACAGACAAGAAACAGTAACTCGGACAAGTACAATATGAATGTTTGATATAATAATAATAATAATAATAATAATAATATATATAGTTATATAGTTAAAATATAATAGTTTGACATATAAAATATTGGATCAAATATAAATACTGTACATGTAAACATTTGTCATTAAGGTAGTCATTTTAATATTGATCTATATTTATTTTTATCTTATAAGTGTATGATTGGTTTGCTTTGTTTTTTTTCTTTTTGTTTGCTTTGTGTTACTTTTATTGTTTCATATTTAATAAATATTTATTTTATCATCTGTATTGGATTTATTTTGTCTTTAGTCCCATCTTTGTTCGCGTTTTGTCCCTTTTGATTTGTTTTTATGCTTTTATTGCTTTGTCCTTTGCTTGGGGATTATTTTTTTCTTTTATCTTTTTTGCTTTTAACTTGTTTTGTTTTTGTGTTTTACTTCATTTTTTTGTGTGTTTTTACTGATTTTTAAAAAATAATTGTTATTATAATAATTAAAATTATTATTATTATTATTATACATTTCTTAATATGGTATCCAGTAATATGGTAACCAGCGGGTCAGTTATTACACTGTACACACCTAGTCTCTGACTTATCAGAGGTCTCCACAGTGAAATGAACTGGCAACTATTCCAGCATGTGTTTTACGCAGCTGATGCCCTTACAGCCACAACTTAGTACTGGGAAATCAAGTTTAAATTCTCTGCCCAAGCCCAGACAGATATTTTATATCTTCGAGCTGGGCTGTGATCAAGTATTTGTGTTTTTTTTTTTTACTTAATAAACCCAATTGAGTGGAAAGCTAGGCCATAGTTTGAAATATTTTATGAATATTTTAGCAAAGTTAGCAACGTGTATCATGTTAATCTCCTGAACAGCATCTCCACCACTGACACACATTCACGCCACACTTGCAAGCAGAGCTGAACCAGCACATGCACAGCATGTTTGTAGAGCAGAAACTTGCTACTTTTTACTGTCATTCAATGTGCACTGTCACTTTAAATGAGCCTGTGCAGCAGCAAAAATGTATCCAGCACCGAATTCTAGCTGAAAAAAAAACATGCTCTTCTTGCGCGTGCAATGTGACAGAGGTGATAGCAAAAAATGGGACCTTTCAAAATGATCAGACCCATGAAGCAGGCTTGCCATGGCAGAAAGGACGATAGTCGGCATTCAATATCCTCTTTTCTTACTATCCATTCTAAATAAACAAACAATGTAGCTTACATGCTTCTTCGTTGTTGCATTATTCATTTAGATAAATCTAAACTCATTTCGGTACTTCAGACAACTAAGAATTGTAGCTGAGAACGTCTTTTATAACGGCCCATGTATAAAAGAAAATAGTCAGGTTTAAATCTGGCTCAGGATCATAATTACAGTATGTGTGGGGCCAGCTCTGGCTCGGACACAAGGTGCACAGGCTCGGGTAGGGTCGAGTTTCGTTTTTTGGGCCTGATCTAAGCTTCGGTGGGAAACACCCATACACTCTCACATTCACACACACTCATACTCTACAGCCAATTTAGGTTATCTAATTCACCTATAGTCTTTGGACTGTGGGGGGAACCTGAGCACCCGAAGGAAACCCATGCAAACAACGGGAGAACATGCACACTTTACACAGGAATGCCAACTGACCAAACTAGGACTCAAATCAGCGACCTTCTTGCTGTGAGGCGACAGTGCTAACCACTGAGCAACCATGCCGCTTGTAAACTTAAATTAAACTTAATAATAAACTTAATATAACAAATATGCAGCAGTTTAATAATGCATTTCCACCACAATGTGGCTTTAGAAAGGAAACTCCCTGTGTTGACAGAAAGGATGCTCACTAGGGTTTGGAACACAGCCACGATGTCATGTCACGACTTCCCCAGGTTACCTCATGAATATCCCAGATCAGATCCAAAATGTCCGCCATGGAAACAGTCATTTCCTGTTTGTGTAGCTGACTAAGATCTCACACTTTGAGCAGTTTCATGGGTTCAGGTCACAGAGCTGTCATTTCCAATAGTTATGTTTATTTATCCAGCCATGCACTTCCTGTGGAACAAACTCATTCCTTTTTCAGTAATACACATGCGAGGAACCACAATTTGACGTCAGTAGCTGAAAGCAGAGTTTGATTTATTGGTTATGGTTTTGCTCCCTCTCTGGCCATCAAGTTATATGAAGAGCGAGCAGACTTTGGTAGCTGTTTGAGACGTACTGTAAATAGGAGAAATAAATCTCTGACAGTACAGTGTAGTCGGACTAACTTTTTGTTCTTTTGTTTGCGATTCCTTTGTTTTGTTGTTGTTTTTTTTCTATTTTATATGTTGTCATTTGTAACTTATTTTTTTGCAAGCATTTTTGTGCCTTTAGTTATATGTGATTAGTGCTTAAATTTGTTTTTACCAGGGTTCGAACAGGTACTGGAAATCTTTGAAAATGCTTCAGTTTTAATCTATAAATTTCAAGGTGTGAAAAATGCATTGTTTTTTGGACAAAGTGCTTAAAACTGCTTGAAAATGTAATTGTGTTGCTTACGTAATTATTGATTTAACTAATTATTCAAACCAATCCTATTGCTTTTGCAAATCTATAAAAGCAAAATGCATGCATTTTACGAGTGAACAATTCATGAAATGAGCAATATCACATGTAGCAGTGTGATATGGCTGTATATTAGCACTGGTGTCTTATAATTAAATTCCAAGTCTCTTAGTGCCCCCCTCCAGTGCCGATTTACAGCCATATTGCACTGCAAGTGTGATATTGCGTTTATATAACAATTTGACGGCATAATCGTGAATATAAAGAGGAAAATCAAACATGGAGGGTCTCAAAAATTCTTTTGTATGAGGAACTACTTTCTTCCACCTTTTAATCACATCTGCAGCTGTCGTCAGAACAGCAGAAACTTTTGCTACTTTACCGACATTACTTAAGAGCTAGTATTTGAATGATTCTCTAGTGTAATGTCTAAAGGAATGACAAAAACAGGTTATTTTTGCTGACATTTTAAGATTATAAGGCTGAACGACATGAAATGCCATCAATCTACAGAGTATTTCTCTGTTGCAATCTGGATTTCACAATAATTAACCCCAAAAAAGCCAGAGCAAAGCAAACACTACCAGTTTCTGTGGTATAAATAGAGCACTCCAAAATACAAAAGACAGAGATGGACTTAGAATGTCACTTACCTGATCTATTTTGATTTGATCAGCTGTAGTTTGAAATTTAGGTTGTTTTTCTTCCCTAAGCACTTATTATGCATTCTCTGTTGCCATTTTGTGGTGGAACCTCAACTGTCACTTTCTTTGGTCTGCTGAGACAGTCTGATGGTGGCCTTTGCACTGAATCCGATGCTCAGAAATGATAAATATTTAAAAAATAGAACTATCCTTATAAATAAACTGCATATTTGCAATCTAAACAAATACATGCTCACCTGAAAAAGCCTCAAAAGTGCATTATGTTGTTCATCAGCAGCATTATTTGTTAAACTGTAGAGTGTCCTCAGCTTGTCCATATATGTGGGCGCCTGGGCGGAGTGATACACAAGGGTGAATGGTGAAGAGACAGTACGAGTGCTGTTATTTGCAGAATATTGCAGGGTTATCAGCCTATGAGATTCAAGAACCAGACAGAACTGTTGTATAAATTAAAATAAATATCAATTTAGGATGGAATATGAACCAATTAAGATTGAGTAAATCATATTTAAGAGAGTGACTTATAATAATTCAGTGTTGGGCTTGGACTGAACATGTCATCAAAATTTTTCCTTGTAGTATTTCATGGTATAATGGAGTATAGTACAGTATAATTAAAACAAAAAACAGTTGATATAATGTGATGAAGTATGAAAATATGTAATTATGTGTTTGTAGGGATGTAACGTTTACCTGACTCATGATTCGATACGATTCATGATACTAATCTCACGATTCGTAATTTAGTCACGATTTTTTAACTAAATTATTTGAAAAATTTAAGGTGAAAGAGCCCTATCATTTTGTTTTATTAATAATATTATTAATATATAATAATAATACAAACTAAAGAAGACTCAATAATATAAACAACTAAAACTGTGACTGTGCTTTAAATATAAAATATCAGCCTATCGATGTTTTCTGCCATAAGCTGAGGTCTTTGCACATTTACAATGTGCTGTAAACACAGCGCTGTCTCTGTTCAAAAACTGTATCTTGATTCTTTCAACATGTCTACCGGTTTGAATTGTCACATTTGAGTCAATTTTCAACTGGCTCAAGGTAAATAGTTACATCCCTACGTGTTTGAAAAAAAAGTTTGAAAATGAACCTGGAAAATGCTTAAATTTTACTTTGGGAAAGAAGTAAAAACCCTGTATTTACATTTAATTCCCATTGCATGTGTGTACAGTGTATAATCTAATGTGTTTTGTCTTTTTACAGTGAGGGTGAGCTTGTGTATGACATAGTGGAGGAAAAGGTGAGTCTAATACTGTGCTTGTGTTTGTCACACCATAACTGATCTACTTAGGAATAGTTCACCTAACAATAGGTTGGCTTTTTAAGCAACAAAAATCTGAACAAACTATTCACCCAACCAAATTATTATTTTTTTCTTCGATTCATTCGAATTTGCATTTTAAGACAATTTATATTTTCTTCATTAAATTAAGGAAATGTGATGTTTAATTAAAAAAATATACTGAAGACACATTATTATTTCACCAATAGCAAAATAAATAAGAAGCCATTGTCCCTACAAGATTTTTTAATTATTAATAAAGAGAATATTCAGTCATGTTGTATACATGTTATATATATGTTATATATATATATATATATATATATATATATATATATATATATATATATATATATATATATATATATATATGTTTCTACTATTTTGTTTTCTTTTTTTCTTTTTTGTTTGATTTGTTACACGTGTGTTTTGTTTTATGTTTGTATTTTTCCATGAGTGTTCTATTACTTTGTCCATTTGTGTTTGTTTGCTTTTCTTGTTGTTCCTTTTGTTTTGTTTGCTTTGTGCTTGAAGTATTTGTTTTCTGTTTTAGTGCTTTTGTTTTGTTTTGTTTTTGCTTCATGTTTGTTTAGCTTTTTTTTTTTAATTCTTTTTGCTGTATCATTTATTTATATGTTTAATTTATTTGTTGGCTTAGTGATCTTTGCTTTTTTGTTCCTTGTGATTTCTCACACATATAATTAAAGTCAAGTTTATTGAAATTTTCTATATCCATGTCCCAATAGCTCTATTTTACTATATAATTTCCCCCTTTGCAACTGCAGAATACATAATATCAAAATTAATAACTGTTTTTTGGATTAGAAAACAAAATATAAAAGCAAGTGCTATTAAATTTACCCACGGCTACCGAAAAAATCCTCTTATCATCAAAAAAATGATGATTCATATTCAAATTAAGTTTCATTTATCACACATTCATCATGACAAAAAGCACTTAAAGTGTCAGGTTCTAAAGTGATAATCAGCTGTAAATTAAAAAACATTGCTTTCTCTGAGGTCATTATGTAAAGAAATAAATATCTGAAACGTCTTTTAGGATTTGAATAGGGCTGTTAGTCTACAACCACTTTATGAATCTCACTGGAATCCATTTTCATTAAACTTCACTTAGATGAAACATTAAGGTGATGTTTGTCCTTTTTTATAATATATTGCGACGTGTTTGCATTTCGTCTTCACAGCAAAAGCAGCTGGAAGTGGAGAGAACGACAAAATGGCTGAAAATGTTGAAGAGCTGGGAGAAATACAAGAACAGCGACAAGGTAAGTGTCCTTCATAAACACATGGTAACTCTCTGAAGGACTTGGAGAAACTCCTTCATATTGTGTGTGTGAATGGCTGCAGTTCCCTTCGGCTGTCTTTGTCCTGCGAAACAGGCGTCATTGAACTGGTCCCCTAAGAAAACCACTGTCCTGCTTCAGCTGCTCTAAATCTGTCCACCTCTGTCTGGTGTTTGAACATCTACAGGCAGCTGTTAGTGTGTTCAGTTGTGTTTCTGTCTACTAACTGTGTGAAAGGAGAAAGGTTCACGGTGAATAAGGTGTAGCGTGATGCTGATGCAGTTGATTGCTTTGTGTAGAACTAATTATTATTACTTATTATGACTACAATTAGTTTGTTTACATAGTGTCTACACCAAGGTGGCATTTGCACAAGTGTGCGTTCGTTTAAAAAAAGCATTCTAGAATAAAAACGCTCCTCCTCCAGGCTGAAAATCACTATCTCCATTCACAATAGCCTAAAATGTATGACACATAAACATTCGCTTTCATTGGGAATGTGCCTATTTTGGAAGTTATTTATAATATTTATTAAATAAGCACACAGTAATGTAAAAACAGTAGTTATACAGAGTATTATTACTATTATTTATTAAATTACTCATAAAATTGTATTTTTTCAAAGCCTTCCACTGCTCCAATCCTCACAGTAATGTAAAATCAGTAATTATACAGAGTATTATTCATATTATTTACTAAATTGGTCATTAAATTGTATTTTATTAACACATACTCCCACTCCAACCCTTGCAGTAATGTAAAATATGTATTTATTCTGAGTGTTAGGGCTTGACAAATCAGGGAACGGTGGGCAATAATACAGAAGTTCAATCAAAGAGTGATTGTGGATAGCCACGTCTGTTTTCAAAAGTCTGTATTTTAGTCTGTCTATACTTAAACAAAAAAGCTGGTGAATCACTGCTAAAAACACATTCAGACTCAAACTGAATTGAATTATTGAACATCATGTTTTCTAAAAAAAATACAAATAAATTGTGTTCGTTGGTGTTTGAGATAAAATTAAAATTAAAATAAATCATGTTGTTTAGAGGGTGTTTCAGAAATGTCTGGAAATCAGCGACAAAATGTATATAAGCCAGATAGTGTTAATGAGACAGCTCCCACAATATGTCCAGATTTAAAAAAAAAATTAAAAGTGTTCACTTATTCTGGACATTAAGCTGTTAGTGAACAGTTGAATGTCTAGTTTAATACTTTCTGCATGAACATCATCATAGTTCACTTACTGACAGCACAGACATTCGAATCTAAATCAAAAATGCTTAGCAACACCAGGCAGATTTTGCATGACGGCAAGAGTTGAATAATTATGTAGCAATTTGGTCAATTTTCTCATGCTCAGAAGTGGAGGGTCAGCACTCAGTCTGTTCTTCTCCGTCTGTCTGATAAAGAATAAGATGCATTCAGGATTGGTGTTCACTCAGGAAACAAAATGAAGATTTCCAGATAATTATATCCCATTTTGCATCCTTTTTGATCTTCAACCGTCAAGGTCACACATAAAAAAGCTGCTATTTTTTTTTTTTATGTTAAATTAATTTAGTTATTTGAAGTTGAAATCAAGCCAAAAAAATGAACTTAAATTTAGTTAAAACCTGATTAAAATAAGTTAATCAAAACTTTGCTAAGTTCTTTAATACAAAGCCATTTTTTTTTTAATAAAGATAAGTTGCTACTGTTTGTAACCAATGGATACATTATCAATTTTTAAATTGGAAAAATATATCTAAAAATGTTTTAAACACCAGTTTTTGCGTTTAAAAAGGGTTTTTGTTTATTGTTCATACACTCAACAAATTATTTTTGTTGCTTGTTCAAACTACTTTAAAATGTGCTGTGTTTTGGGGGATAACCTAATTGTTTTATGTTTAATCTACTCAAATTTGTTAAAATAATTACATTAAATAAATTGATTTGTTTTGGAACAACATGAAGGAATTGTGTGTAACCCAGCATTTTTACAGTGTATTATAGGTAGTTATTTGTGCAATTTCTATCTGCACTACATGACAAAGGTCTTGTTGCACATCCAAGTCAAATAATAACTTGACTTCTAGTTGATCATTTGGTATCAAAAGTGGCTTATATGAAAGGCAAACCCCTCTAGATTATGCTTATTGTACCCAAATAAAATATAATCATATCTTGATTTTTAATTATTACCTTAGGAAAGTAAGGTCTGACTTCGCCTAAGGCAAGGCAAGACAAAAGTCTTGTTATTTAACAGAAATAATGCACAGTATAGAATATAAAGTCATGGTGCAGTGGAAAAAGAATAAATATTGTGTATGACTCCCATGAGCTTGGAGGACTGCATCCATACATCTCTGCAAAGACTCCAATAACCTAATCAATAAAGTAAACTGAATTGGCAAAGAAAGCGATCTTGCAGGACTCCTAGAGGATATCAAGATTCTTTGGATTCATATTCAATTCCTCCTCCATCATACCCCAGGCATGCTCAATAATGTTCATCTCTGGGGACTAGGCTGGTCAATCATGGACCATGCACCTTGACCTTTTTTGCTTTAAGGACTCTGATGTGGATGCAGAAGTATGGGAAGAAGCGCTATCCTGCTGAAGAATTTACCTTCCCCGTAGTTTGTAATGTAATGAGCTGCACAAATGTCTTGATACCTAAGACTGTTGATGATTCCATCCACTCTTTAGATCGCTGACATGACCCCATACTTAATGTAACCCCAAATCAACCATGATTTTTCCCTCACCAAACCTGACTGATTTCTGTGAGAATCTTTGGTCCATATAAAGTTTCAATTCTTCTGCAGTATTTGTGATGATTGAGAAGCAGTTCAACAGATGATTCATCGGAAAACAATCCCTTCTCGAACTTTTCAAAATGATCAACTAGAAGTCAAGTTATTATTTGTTGCTCTTATGAGTGGGATCGATGACAAGACTTTTGTCATGTAGTGTATTTTAAAATGTTAAGATCCTCAAGTTTATTCACTTTAAAGTTAAACATCTGAATTTATTTCACCTATATAAACTATCTGCTTAAAAGTATCAGCAGTTTATTAGAATATTTTTGTATCCATAAACGTGGATGTTGACCTGCATCAGAGGACCATGGACAAATGACAGTAGAAACATTTTGATGAGAGCTGTGAAAGAAACAATCCAGACACAGAGTGCTGAAACAACCGTTTGACAAACACTCAAACAGAAAAAAAGTAAGGTAAATGGAGACAGGCAAGTTTAGGGGAGGACGCTGAAACTGCCTCAGGTGACAACAGGTCCAAACGCTGGATATTTAATGGACACACCAGGTAGACAATAAAAAGAAGAGTACAGTGAACCAGAGACCTCAAGTTCTCCGCTGGCAGGTGTTGAATGGGTGTGCTGTGCAGGCAAAGGTAACCAGCAGGCAGGGAAAATTCAATGTCTACAAGAGGAACACAAGTACAATACAACAGATGAGAAAGGAGAAGCATCAACAAAAGCAAAAAAATGACTTCAGCAGGGGTGAAAAAAAGGATTTGAGGGCCGTAGTGTTCAGTTCCAACTCTCCAATGAACATACCAAGCCATTTTAAAATAAGCCTGAAGGATAGTCTAGCTGGATCAGGTGTGCTTAATTGGGGTTGAAGCTGAAGTTTGCAGGACTGAATTAGACAGCTTTAGTAGACTAGAGTAACCCAAAAGCCAGCAAGCTAATAAACAAATAAACAAAATTAAATGAATATATTAAACAAATTAAAATAGCAAATAAAAATAATTTAAACAATATACTAACCAACAAAACACTACAAAGACTGCAAGGTATGTTTGCTGGTTGGTAAAAAGGTAAAATAAAAAAATAATAATAATAATTAACAGTATAAACAACTGAATTAAATGGAATTAAATTGAGTGCAAACCTTACAAAGGAACTCAGAACTGGTGTGGAGACTTGGACACCAATGTTATAAAAACAGGTTTATAGTAACACTAGGGATGGATGAAACAAAATTGACAATTCGACAAATCCTAAACAGCAGATGTTTTAAAACATTGCTCTAAAATGTTTTGAAACACCTGTGACACGTGACTTAAGCATTTTAAAGTGTCTCACGTAACCTACTTAACTTCATGTGGGCATAGTGTAACTATGCTGAGAGTCACTCGAGTTCCAATCCCAGCTTGTAAAAGCATTCAGAAATTGTGTCTTAATGTTTTTTATTGTTGTTGATTTTTTTCATAAACCAAACAACACATTTATTAACAAATAGTTCATTTGAATGTCATGATCATACACCTGGCACAATAAGGCGCAAGACGTGTTTGGTGCAATTTGATGCTATTTTCAGACCAGCGAAACCCTAATTTTCTCATTTTGCACCACGTTGTTTAAATAGCAAATCAATTTGCTATTAGTTTTGTGGATTCATGGCCATTCCGGTCTAAAAAGGAGAACTGTTAAGGCGAATTGCTGGCACATTGCTGTTTCGAAGAACTGAAAGCTAGTCAAAAGTGCAGCGCAGAGCATGTTAGTTATGCGCCTATGCAGGTCCAAAACGTTAATTCATTTGTTTGCTGCAAATTAGAACTAATTTTGAAATAGTTTTAAAAAAATAAATTTGCGCTTAACAAACAAAATTAAATATGTAGGCTAATAGATGTCTTTAGTAGAGTGCGTACAACACCATTTCCTTATCCACAAAAGTAAAGGAATAAAGAGTAACAGTAAATATGCTTTTGCGTCATGCGCTTTAAACTTTGCACCTAGATCATTAAAATAGAGCCCCCAATGTTAAAACACAACACATTTCAAGAACAAAGCAATAAAAATCCAAATTTTAAATGACTGCAGTTGCTTCACCCAGGATTCGTACACAATATATATGTGTGCCATTCAGAAACATTAACTGCTTTAATAAATCACTTGATATCTCGACTTATACAATGTGGATATAATTCCTAGCTGAATGTTTCTTTTTTGAAGTCGTTTCATAGCAATACCTAAAATAACAATTAAGAAATTGGTTTGGAAACGTTTCGAAGCCTTAACACACTTGCTGCGACTGTTTGAAATACTTTGAAATATTTAAAATACTTATGAAATACTTTGCCACACTTACATGCTATTTCAGAGCGAATATTCAGAGTAGCATGGTGAACAGTATAGGAAGGCTGTCATTGTTCAAAAATGACCCAATGTGAATATAAAAGCAACTTCAGCTCAATAAAGCAGGTTAGGCGGAATAGCGCTATTTACTGGTGTTTTGTTGTTAAACTAAATATAAATCTACATTATAGATGCTGTCAAAGAACCTTATGAAACTGAAAATAATCACATCAATCTTTCACCGGGAGATTTCAGTGCCTGAACAACACGTCTGTACATATAGGTCATTCATAAAAACACAATCTAACATAAAATAGTTTCAAAACAGAACATTACCTGTCTAACAGTAATACTTCAGCCATGGTGTCGTCCTTCCTCCAGCGTGCTAAAGTAAGTCCAATATTGATTCAGGTTTTTTAAAGTTTCAATTCAGCTTTTGATTTCGCCTGGTCCGTCTCGTGACCGCGCGGCCTGTCCTTTGGTGCCTCCGACTCGGCATCTGCGAGCGGCCCGCAGCTCGCTCGAAGTGCATGCGTTTGTTAAGCAGACGGGCCCGCGCTAATGGCGGATCTGCGTGAACAGATGCACAGAAGTCGGAATCTACATTTGCTGACAGACAGTCTGACCTGCCTATCGGAATTAAGGGAGATGACGGTCCGACTCTATTTAATTGGATAAACATCTTTTAGTTTTATGCTTTAACCAGAATATGAAAATACATATAAACACATTTAAATCATTTAATGTAATCATTACTATTGGACTGTGAAGAGACATTCAACTAGCACAACAAAAAATATTTCTGAAGACAATCACCTACTGCACCTTTAAACAGAAATACAAGATTTGGTACTTTAACCTGAGTAGATCATTTTGGCACATTAAACACCAAAAGCACATTAAAGTACCTAATGGCAAAATGGGAAGTGAACATAATAGAGCAGAGCTGATGAGGAACAGGTGAAGATGATCAGGTTAATGAGGATGCAGGACAAGAGGAGCACACATGCAATATACAGTTCAATCTGACATGTTTATCGACATTTTAACTATCTGAATCATCTGTGTTATTCAAGAATGGCAGTACATTGGATCAATATTTACAAACAGATGGCAGGTAACATATTCACACATGAAATTTTAAAGTGAAAATTGTATAAATAACAAATAGACTGAAGTTTATTTATCTATTTTTTTGTTTGTTTTAATATTTTCTCGTAAAACATGCTTCATTTATCTTGGTTGGTTATAAAAAAAACATTCTCCACCTTCCTCGAATAGTTGTAGTATTGACCCTGTATGTGTGCGTTTGTTTGTAATTTTGCCGTTCTGCACGCTCGCTTCAAAGACATCTTGTTAAAGTGTTTTTGTACAACAGATGGAGTCATCGACTTCTTTCACATCCGTAATTACAAAGGCAATCCCCCGTCGACAAACACACTTTAACACGCAAACAAACACACACAGACACCTGCCCATTTGTAACGTCTCGTTTTATTCAAACAAACAAACAGTCTTAATCGCCTCATTTTGCCAAGATTACCAGATGAAACACACACACACATTCACACACACAAGCACACTATCATTGGGTTTATAGCTGTGGAACAAAAATCAGCTTCCCAAGAGCCTCGTGAAGATTATTAATGTCATTGTTATCATTATTGTTAGTTAACTTCTCAACAGCCGTCAGTACACACACACACACACATAGGTTTGTTTTTGTGAATTGTGGGGACATTACATGGGTTTCTATTGTTTTTATACTTTAAAGAAAGTACGCCAACGCACGCCTCCCACCAGTGCCGATATACAGCCATATCGCACTGCTACTCGTGTGATATTGCTCATATATATATATATATATATATATATATATATATATACACACACACACACACACACACACACACACAAACACAGTTGAAGTCAGAATTATAAGCCACCCTGAATTATTAGCTCCCCTGTTTATTTTTTCCCCAATTTCTGTTTAACTGAGAGCAGATTTCTTCAACACATTTCTAAACCTAATAGTTTTAATAACTAATTTCTAATAACTGATTCACATTCATGTAATACGAGCATGCAAATCTCTTTGCTTGTGTGCCAATTTTCTAAGTTTGTGCGCAAAACTTCTTGTACACCCTCAAATATACACTGCTCAAGTGCAGATTTTCTTGTGCACTCTCAAATAAACGCTGCTGAAGTGTGATTTAGTGCGTTTATGTAACGAGTATGTCTCCAACATTTATTAGATTTGCTAGGAATATTTATGTCTCCACTAGACTTGCAGAGCAGCATTAATGCCTCCTGAAGTAAGGTGAAATGGATATAAACTCCAGCAAGATAATTTAATTGTATGAAGAACCAGACCTTTATCTATAAAGTGTGATTATGGAAACTGTGTTCATCTTAACTGAAAGCTACGTCGTGTTTGCTGGCCTCATGCCTCACGCATCAGTCAGTCAGTCAGCATATCAAAGGGTTAAACAAATAACGCACAGCACTACTACAATTACAGAAAAGTTTGCGCTGTTTTAACATACTTGCCTTTTTAATATGTATTGGTGTGATTATAACCCGCTATAAAAAAAAAATAAAATAAAACGATTGAATGTTTTGAATAAGAAGCTGTAGCTGTGGCGGGAGGAATTCTGGTGTGGCATCCCGCCATGGAAGAAGGAATGTAGTGGAAACCATGCATTATAATTCACCTTCATGTAATATCTGTGTCAATACCCATGTCATTATTAGGGATAAGTATTGTTAAGGTTTTAACAGTATTAATACTTTTATCAATACCACTTATCAGTTCGGTACTTTAACAGTAGTATTGTCTGTACTTTTTGTAGTGTTTTTTTTTTTAATCAAAAACAAATTGAACAGAATTAACAATATTTTATTGCATTATTGCTTTTTTAACTTAAACTAAAATAAAACCAATAATTGTAAAAGCAAAAAAAAAGAAAATAATAAATCCTGTTAAAGAATGTACAATGATTTGAAGTTGATGCATGCAGGTCGGCTGCAAATATTTCAAACAATTTGACCATTCTTCTAGAGAAAAATCAACATGTTTGCTTTTTCTGGATGAAGTCCAGACCTTTTCTGGCTTATTGTGCTTCCTGCAGTTGAAAATACCCTCTTTGAGTTGCAAAATGCAGTTAAACAGTCACCTCTGTTTAATGTTTGTGATTTATCCTTAACACATTCACATAAATCAGTTAAAATTAGTTTGAAATTAAAAGTAATACAGTTTTGAAACCTTTTGCAATGTAAAACAATCCGTTTTTATCATTTCTTAATAAGCATAGTTTATTATTATTATTAATTTTTTTTTTGTAAATGCAGGGATTTAAATGTAAGTGGTTTAAATTTATTTAGGCTATTAAAAAATACTATTTTCGATGTAATTGAATGTGTGTGTTTATTAAACTATTGATATTATACTAATTTTAATATTATACTGTACTGTAAGTAATGTTTATTTAGCAATAATTCTCCAGTAGCGATAGCAGAACCATTTACATCAGAGATTATCAATGCTTCAGTCTTTCATAATTTAGCACCAATACCGATAAAGTACAGAGTTTCAGTACCCATTCCTTGTCATTATACCAATTTCTGTCCTGAAATGTCACAAAAACGTACACACAAACATTGGGTTTTAATGTTTAAAGGGGACTTCCCATACAATAATAAAATGATTTTATACTCTACGGAGTGTGTATTCTTTCCCCCTACCCTTAAAATCAAACGCTCACAAAAAACATTCAGAAGTTTTAAATTTTTTAAATACTTCACTCTCTGATTCATGAGCTGTTTTCCTTATGGGCTCAAAAAGGAATGTCCCCAGAAGGTAAAAATTAATGGTATTTCTTTGTTGTTGGGGATATTTGGTCCCCAAGATGTGATGAATACTGACACCACACACACACACACACAAACACACACACACACTTTGGGCTGAGGAAATCTCTTAGCGGCAATAATGTGAACAGATGAGTGCAGGAAATGGAAGAGTGTTCATTCCTCTCGTTCACCTCTGCACCCTCTGCAGTTGTATTTCCCTCTCTCTGACTGACTCTCTTTCTGTGAGTTTAATTGTGGCTGAGGGACGATTCACACCAGCCATCGGCTTTTGTGGTCTCAGCGTTTTGCTTTGAAGCATTTAATCTGGCCTCTGATGGGAGTTTAATCTTTACTGGCTGCACAATTACCTGTCAGAGACACAGATGTGATCCATTACCCTTGTGTTCAATGCATGGCTGTATATATACAACAAACACTATTTATTATTTAATTCGTTCATTTTGTTTTGTTGTGGTAACACTGTCAATTAAGCTGAACGTATTTCACCATGATTAAATTTGTTCAGGTCTTAAATGATCTGAAATCAGCACAGTAAATGTGGAAAGTGTGCCAATTCAATCTAGGTAGCCAAGAGAAGGGAACAAAGTAATCTGTGAACTGATTGAGGTCTGTAATATTCTATAATGTAAAGTAGATTGAGTGAGCTGATTGTGTTGTTCAATGTTTGTGTAACTGTGTTATTGTTTATTGTGTGCAGCTGGTGAGGAGGATCTACAAGGGCATCCCGCTGCAGCTCAGAGGACAGGTGTGGTGTTTGCTGCTCGACATTCCCAAAATCAAGGAGGAGAAGAAGGACTTCTATGAGGTGAACACACACTTTCTCCATCACAGCACAGCCACGCTTACTTCACAGACACTTTAGTCCACAGAAGTGTGTGTGTGTGTGTTGTGTGTGTTGTGTGTGTGTGTGTGTGTGTGTGTGTGTGTGTGTATATATGTATGTGTGTATGTGTGTGTGTGTGTGTGTGTGTGTGTGTGTGTGTGTGTGTGTGTGTGTGTGTGTGTGTGTGTGTGTGTGTGTGTGTGTGTGTGTGTGTGTGTGTATATATGTATGTGTGTGTGTGTGTGTGTGTGTGTGTGTGTGTGTGTGTCTGTCTGTCTGTCTGTCTGTCTGTCTGTCTCTTTGTGTTTTTGTGTGGGTGTGTGTGTGTTTTCGCTTGTGCATGACTGAGGGTGTGTGTCTGTCTGTGTGTGTGTGTGCATCTGTGTGTGTCTGTGTGCATGTGTTTGTGGGTGAATGTGGGTGTCTGTGTCTGTCTGTGTGGTGTGGGTGTGTGTGTATCTGTCTGTCTGTCTGTCTGTCTATGTGTGTGTCTGTGTGCATGTGTGTTTTGTGTGTGAATGTGGGTGTCTGTCTGTCTGATGTGTGTGTGTGTATGTATGTATGTGTGGTGTGTTTCTGTCTGTCAGCGGCTGTCTGTCTTTCTCTGTGGATGCGTGCTTGCATGTATGTGTGTATGCGTGTTTGTGTGTGAATGTGGGTGTGTGTGTGATGTGTGTATCTGTATATGTACGGTATCTCTGTGTGGTATGTGTCTGTATCTGTATCTCTCTGTGTGTGTGTGCGTGCGTGCGTGCGTGCGTGCGTGCGTGCGTGCGTGCGTGCGTGCGTGCGTGTGTGTGTGTGTGTGTGTGTGTGTGTGTGTGTGTGTGCGTGTGTGTGCATGTGCATGTCTGTGTCTGTGAGAGAGGCGATCACAAGCTCTTAAATATGACTTTCTAAAATAACCAGCCCCTGAGGTTTGCAATGTAACACTTATGTGGTTTGACACACACACACCGCAGAGGGAAAATCACTCCAGATGGACAATAGCAGCGGCACTAAAGCCCTGCAGCATCAGCTGGACTCAAAACATGATTTGCAGACTGTATTTTCTTTGTGAGTGTGGCAGAAATCAAGCTGTGGGCTCTGGGGGTGTTGTTTTATTCGTTTGTGGCCTGTAATTTAGTGTTGGGGTGTGTGGTATTCACAAAAATGCTATTTCACTATTTATAGGGATTTTCAGTAATGGTAATTAAAACTTGTACATTATTTTCAAAAGAAAAGTTACACATCATCACACAATTACACAGTTACAGTTGAAGTCAGAATTATTAGCCCTCATTTCATTTTTTTCTTTTTTAAATATTTCCCAAATATTGTTTACAGAGCAAGGAAATTATTAAAGTATGTCTGATAATATTTAAAGTCAGAATTTTTAGCCCCTTTAAGCTATATTTTTTTCCGAAAGTCTGCAGAACAAACCATCGTTATACAATAATTTGCCTAATTACCCTAACCTGCCTAGTTAACCTAATTAACCTAGTTAAGCCTTTAAATGTCACTTTAAGCTGTATAGAAGTGTCTTGAAAAATATCTAGTTAAATATTATTTACTGTCATCATGGCAAAGATAAAATCAATCAGATATTAGAGATAAGTTATTAAAACTATTATGTTTAAGATATAAAATCTCATTATTTTCAAGCATTCTGTCAATTTATTCAGGTACCAAAACATTTTATTGCAATTTGCAAATAATGTATGAATTATTATTTTGTTAATTTAATTTTTCATTCATTTGAAGGATTTCAATGATTTAAACTACAAATGACCAATACAGGTAGTATTATTGCTTTCAAAACATGATTCATAGTGTCATTTAATACAGTATTTTATTTTCATTATTGTATTTTATTTTGTAAAATATTATTTTATATTTATGTTTATAGCTTTCTTGATATTCAATCTGGTATTTAACTTTATTATTACAAGTTATATATTTTTTCATTCTTTTTTGAACACTCAAGACATGTTTTTGTTCAGTTTTTCTTGCAAACTGAGTTACATCCTCCATAGCGACTTACATATTCAGTGCTAGTTATTAATATTTAAGATGAACTCAATGCTCTCTCTCTCTCTCTCTCTCTCTCTCTCTCTCCTTCTCTCTCTCTTTCTCTCTGCAGAAGCTGAAGATCAGAGCGAGGGGTTTGTCTCCAGATGTCCGTCAGATTGATCTGGATGTGAATCGGACATACAGAAATCACATCATGTTTATGCACCGCTACGATGTCAAGTGAGCATCAAAATGCACACCAACACAGAAGCAACTATACAGAGGGCTTGCAAAGATTGATATTTCGTTAAAAATATTACATTTGTTGACCATTTTCCCTCCTTAAGTAATGCCAAACCTTTATGAGCTTCTGCTTTTTTTTCTGTTGAGCACAGAAAAAAGATATTTTAAAGAATGTTGATAACCGGTAACCATTGACTTCCAAAGAAGAAAAAACAAATACTATGGATATCAAGGAGCTCCAACATTTTTCTAAATATCTCATTTTGTGTTCAACAGAAGAAAGAAACTGAAGCATGTTTGGAAGAAGTCAAAGGAGAGTAAATGGATTTTCAGTTTTGGGTGAACCATCTCTTTAATGTCTCAGGCCATGATGTGCGATACCACTTGAGCTCTAGGGCCCCTTGGCCACTCTGTGAATATATCATGAGTTGACCGCTAGTCCTCCGGGGTCCTCAAAACATTGCATAATCTGACACTAGTGCCTCATGTAGGGCCCTTGGCATGTACTGCTCAAGCTCCATGCTAGATGTCATTTTGCCCCTATTCAAGCTGACTGCTAAGGCTTGATTACTAGATATATGTTTAAGCAGCTATAGCAAGATATAACTATAAGCAAGATAGAATTTTTTTTTTGTTTGTTTGTTTATTTTTTGTCAAATAAGATTTATTGCATACAAAGATTCAGGAAAAAAGTTTTGAGTCTAAACTCTTTTATTAATAATTTATTCATACCATAATGTACAAACCTTTAATTGGCAATTTTATTTGGGAAAAGTGTTGTTGTTGCATTCATTTGATTAATTTAGAAATTTCCTTTATTATTAAAGTAAAGTAAAATAATTTTTAATCTCTGTTTTATTTTAAATATTTCATTTTATATTGATATATTGTATTAATAATATTATTATTATTATTATTATTTTATTTTTTATTGTTATTGAATAGCTCTGCAGATACTTTACAAATGACTTTAAGAATAATCTGTTCCTTAAATTAAACTTTTTATGTAATTCAAAAACAAAATTATGTTGTTTTTGTGCATTCCAACATTTTACTTCATTTCATTTACGAAATAGTAATAGTAGTAGTAAATAATAGTAAAAAAAACTTTGATAGTAGTCATAGCATTATTCTTACCATTTTTTTCTTTTAATCTTTATTTTTATTTTATTTAGTTTTGTGTATCTTAACATATTATTATTATTATTATTATTATTATTATTATTATTATTATTGTTGTTGTTGTTGTTGTTGTTGTTGTTGTTGTTGTTGTTGTTATTATTATTATTATTATTATTATTATTATTATTATTATTACAGAGTTGCTCTGCCAATAGAGACTTCAAGTATCTTATTTTCATTTTTATAATTATATTTTGTTTTTATTAGTAGTAGTAGTAGTAGCATTATTATTATTATATTTCTTTATCCTTGTATTAAATTTATTTTGTCGTTGGGTATTCCAACCATTCATTCATTTGTTTGTTCGTTCGTTTGTTTGTTCATTCATTCATGTGTTATGCTTTAGTTTTTTTTGTATTTACATTTAATTTTTACATTAGTCAATGAATTAATTACATTACCATAATCACTTATTCCTAACAATTTTTTTTTTTATTCTTAAAGAATCTTTTAAAAATTCCCTCATTTCACTCCACACGCTGCATGCACTGAGGTCTTTCCAGCATGCTCTCTTTCAGAAAAGCTCTGCCTGCGTAGACTTGTTTTATGTAGGGCTTTAATCTGTGTCTGTGTAAAATACATTTTTTATTTCTCCTCGGAGATGCTTCCATTTCTCATGGCCATAAAGCTGCTACATTTAAGCAGCGTGTGAAATGGGAAAGTTGAGAAGGCAATGGAGCGACCGAGAGACGCCCACAGCCCATCACTTCACTGCCAGTTATTGCAGTATTGAATTGTGACGGGCCAAAAAGCAGTCATATTGACCGATGTGACATTTACCTGTGGAGATCTGAAAGGGTCAGATCATTCGCACAGTCTGGGCTTTAGACATCCATAAAACCGAAGAAAAAAATGAAACAATGAGAGCGGTAAAGAGCAGCATAGGCAAAAATGTACTAGAACTAAATGGTCCATGACAAGGGACGTCAGTTTCCACAAAAATGCCACGATGGATTGTCATTTAAAATGATGATCAATTAATTGATTATTCGTCAGTCTAAATAATGTAAAATGTATCTGCTTCAGTGTCACCAGCAGGATGTGCAAATAACACTTAAAAAGCACTGAACTGTTCAGAGAGAGAGAGAGAGAGAGAGGAAGAGGAATAGTGGGTTTGTCACCATAGTGGCTTTTTGGTTTCTTTTCTTGTGCATCCCAGCCACTAGCACCCCATCTGAAATATGTTTTAGCATAAGGGCACTGTAGTCATTCAACTTGTATGCATTTGATTAATGATAGTTTAGGGTTTAAGATTTACAGTATCTTTATTATTGACATCTTACAGATGTTGATCTACCTTAAAGTTTGCTTTGATTTTTCAACGTTTACACTTTTTCTTTGCACACACTTTGTAACATTTTATTTATCAGTCTTAGGTGTCTCTTTGACACTTTGACACATTTATTTTATTCTAAGTCATAAGAGATGCAATTTATTTTTGTTTTTGACTATTAATATAAAGTGGTTAAATAAATAGAAAAATCCTAATATTTCTAAATGAATTGTTAAAATATTCAATAATTATCTATACAAATGAAACGAAGCATTATGTTGTGATATTTATTGTTCATGTGCAGTCTTCAGGACACTGAGGCCATGTCTACCCATACTTGTGTATTTTTATTTGACTGGCTTTTGTTTTAAAAAAAATCTCTGTTCACATGAAAATGCAGAAACACACTGCGATACATGTTAAGGCCATGCCGAACCAACAGTTAGCAATAAAGAAAATTTAATGATGGGTTCACACCAAACAGACAATTAAGTAGTTTGTTAGTGTGTTCTCAAATGTCCACAAGATACTTGTGCATTTTGAGGAATATATGGAGAATGGGAAAAGGCCAATGTTTGCTCATGAATATCCATGACTAGTTAAAGGCTTATGCCATTTAGTTGTTTGTTAGCCCTCTTCATCTGTTTTTCAATTAGTTGTTGCCATCCCTATCCATGGCACATGATTATCAGAATGCAGGTTGTGTATATGATGTTTTGTGTGTTCTATGTGTTTCAGACAGCAGGATCTGTTTCATGTGCTCACAGCTTACTCTGTGTACAACACGGTAAGTCAAACACACTCTAAAGAGCTTCACTTTACATCCCAGTACGGAGTCGAACTGACGCCATCAGTCATGTTTGAGGATGAATGCACAGTTCATTTATGTGTGGAGGAAGATGCACACTATGAATTCTGTCTTTTATTGTGTGTGTGTGTGTGTGTGTGTGTGTGTGTGTGTGAGTGTAGGAGGTTGGCTATTGTCAGGGCATGAGTCAGATCACTGCGCTGTTACTCATCTATATGAATGAGGAAGATGCTTTCTGGGCGCTTGTTAAACTGCTGTCTGGACAGAGACACACCATGCACGGTATAAACTTTTATTCACCCTGGAACATATGAATGGTGTGAACAAGTTGTTCAAATATTTTAGTAATTATGAAACTCTATATATATTTAGTTTAGTTTAGTTTCTATGATCATTTTTGATCTCATTGCATAACATTAGTGGACAACAATTGATCTACAACTAGAAATGAACCGAAATTAAAATTCTAAGCCAAAACTGACATTTTTGAATGCACTTGACTCAAAACATATAATATTATATATTTATATAATATTATAATATATAAAATATAATATTATATATACATATAATAATATATATTTTTAATGAATTAACATTATTTTGTAGGAGTCTTTACATTTTATTTAATAAAATTAAACTGATTGTAAAAAAAGAACTACAATTAAAAAATAAATAAATAAACAGATTTTATTAACAGCAGAAAAAAAAAATTGACGACTACTTTCACATTATCCACCAATAATGGTCTTTTTGTTCAGCACCAAAAATTGGCTACATCCCTAGCTACAACACGTTCATTTTTTCAGTTGTATATGTTGTAAACATGCTCTCCCATATCAATAGTTGTATCAAATGTAAAATATGTGGTTGTGTCCATCTAGGTTTCTTTGTACCAGGGTTCCCTAAACTTATGCGCTTCCAGGAGCATCATGATCGTATTCTGCAGAAGATGATGCCTAAACTCAAACAACATCTAGTAAGACGCATTAACATCTCCAGAACATCACATCACACATGATACTACACATTAACTCAATTCTAGGCCACTTTACTCTTTAAACCTGTACCTTGCATGGTCCAGTCATGTTCCCGAAACACATACTTGCATTTAAACTGTTAATTTTATCCTGATTATCTAAAATCAACTTATTCCAAAGTTAATCATTTCATCAAGTGTTCACAATATTGATTTTTTTTTAAATGCATCCGAGCATCTGGCCTAGTCTGAGCACTTATGTTGTAGAGAATTCACAAAGAAATGCCATCCTGGTATTCATTAAAGGGCAGAGTAATTAATAAAAGCCGACATTAATAAATAAAGAGATTGATGAATGAATGAATTATTTGTGCGTGAGGGAGAGCCAGCCTTTGATTATAAAAGAGGGATAAGCTTTACTCATTGGTGGGTGTTTGTGAACATATGGCTTTGTTCCATAGAACATACAATCATAACTCTTGCTCTTTTTATTATTATTTTTTTTACAGTTTATACAGTGTGAAAAAGATGTCATTTATGTTTATGAATTATGTTATTCAGTTCAATTTCAATTTAAAAGTTGACTTGTAAAGTTGTTTCACAGTAAGTTTTTTTCAAAAAATGTGCAAAAGTTACAAAATACTTGATGACTTAAACATACTTTATAAGTATATATAATTGTTCGGTAAGTCAACAACATTTATTTTCATTCCCTTGTTTTATTTTTAAAGCACATTTTGACATATTCCAAACTCGGTATGAAAATGCCAAGATGCAGATAAAATCTTGTGCACATGAAAAAAAATAAACACTATAGTCATTTATAGTAAATACTATAACTTAACAGTAAATATCAACTGTTTTAAACGTGTAGCTGAGCAGCTCAGTGCTGGTTTTTGTTTGTGATTTGAGATCAAACTAAACACCACCTTCTCTCTGCTGATGCTCATTCATAAACAGCATTATGAGACAGATTTACACTTTGTCAGGGCTTTCACGATATCTATTTTTTGTTGTATGATATATGGCACCACAATATATTGCGATAAATGATATTATTGTCATTTTTAAGACCATTTTATGCCACTCATTATAAAATGCCACAATGACAATATAATAGCATCATAATGCAAGTACACTCTTCCAAAGAACACATAATGTTTTATTCTTAAGAATATTGACTTTAATTATAGTCATTTTTAAAGTTGAATAATTAGGCGTTGAAATCAGAATGTGCAAACATACAAATTTTCTAAAGAAATAAATAATAAATGTTTACAGAAAAAATTCAAGGTAAAAGACAGAGGCTGCGATATCTGCTACTAGATCTATTTTCAGTTGTCAGACACACACATGAAAATGTACTCTAGCAATTTATAGTAAATACTATAGTGTTTTCAACCATACTGACACTGACACCTCCAATAGAGATAAAGATGTTGCACAATCAGCTAAAGTGTTGCTAGAATAGTTTTTTTATGAATGGGCAATATTTATTGCATCACCAAAAATGATTGAGGCCATGTCCATGTATTGTGGTTGTTATAAGTTGATATATTGATAATTTTGACATGCCTACACTGATATTTTTCAGTTTTGCATTGTAGTCGAAATAAAAATGATAAAGTAGAATGTTCTCTTATCAGTCCAAATATGTTTAATCTTTTGGGAAAAAAAGAAATATGCATTTGACTGAAAATGAGATTTTTTAACAGCAGCTTTCGCAGCACCCATCAACTGCTGTTTTTCATGAGACACAGCTTTGTGAATGTTTTATTTCATGCATTTAGTTTTTAATGTGCTTTTAATATTTTTTTTTTATTTAAAGCAACTTTCACAGATGTGGATTTAGCCTTGAATATATTTATATTTAGCCTTATAATATATTGATGCCGTTGCAATTGTTGTTTCTCCACAATCAATTCCTGATCCTTTGTCTTCAATCAAAGACACATTATTTAATTACCTTCAAAATGCCAAAATATTTGTTAAACAAATTTGTTAAAAACAAAAGCATATATACATGTTAAAACTGTAAAACAGAATTAAGTGTGTCTGCCTAATAGTTCATTAGTTTTTAAACATATAAATGCATAATACATACCACATGAAGTACATAACATGCTAAAGTACTTGAGTTCATTTGTTGTGGTAATTCTATAGTTGCCTTGGTAATACAACATTTGTATTAACATAAACTTGCACAAAGTATGGATTTAAAACAGAATTTTCAAACAGACAATATTTATACAAATCCACAGTGTTGATTATATAACATGATTTATTCTGTAAACTACTGATGTCATTTTTTAATACAAATGGGCTCATCTATTTATTTATTTTGTTTAGTATTATTTAGACAATATTCAGGCATGTTTATGTGAACTTTAGGAATGCAATACTGCAACGTTTCAACTTTAGAAAAGTTAAGAAATGTATATTTGGTGGAATAACAATGATTTGCAGGCACACCAATTGAAAACATTAGTAATGTTCTGCAATCAATCAATCAGTAAAAGAAATAATCATTTTTATTAATGAATTTGGTAATATTGTTATTAATAATAATATATAATTTTATTTGTTTAGCACTTTTCCTACATACAACTTAAAGTGCTTCACAAACAAATATTAAGAAACAACATTAATATAAGGTAAAACACACAAAAAACCCACAAATGTAAAAACAAATAGAGCAAAAAAAAAAAAAAAAAACGACAAATATATACACAGAGAAATGCACACACACACACACACACAGTAGCATATGAATAGCATATGCAATTTACATATCGTTTTTGTAGTTTTGAAGCCAACTCTAAATAGGATAGAGCGTGCATCCACACCTCTATAGGCTTTTGGCATATTTTTTTTTTTACATTTGACACCCTTACAGCCTTACTAACACCCTTTATGTAAGCTCAGGTTTTATTTATGGTGATAAATATGGTTATAGTCTGTTATTTAGAAACAATGCTTTGTTTGATTTTTGCCTTGCCCGTACAGTAACTGTTCTTTGCTGCCCTCTGCAGGATAACCAGGAGGTCTACACCAGCTTATACACTATGAAGTGGTTCTTTCAGTGTTTCTTGGACCGGGTATGAACACTTAATACACAATTTCAGTAAATCTAAGCATATTATTTTTATTATTGTTGTTGTTGTTGTTGTTATCATTATTGTATATCATGATGTTCTATTATTATTTTGTACAATATGTAGTGTTATTGATTTATGTGCGTGTTTTGAATAGACTCCATTCACGCTGACACTGAGAATATGGGACATTTATATTCTGGAAGGAGAGCGAGTCCTGACTGCAATGTCTTACACCATCCTGAAACTTCACAAAAGTAATGAGTGTGTGTGTGTGTGTGTGTGTGTTGTGTTTGTTTGGTTTTATAGGTAACATTATTCCCAGATGTAAGCTAAATCTCCTCAAAATATGTCTAAACACTATTTAAATGTATATTATTTTTAAAATAGAAGAAACTGATTTGTCTGTACAAAATAGACTGTAATAATTATAATTAGCTATAATCATTGAGTGATTCATAAAGGGATAGTTCACCCAAAACTATTAAAACATCCTCATCATTTACTCACAATCTTTAACAAGCGTTAAAACTCATATAAAAAAATCTGTATTTTTTTGTCTTCTGTTAAACACAAAACAAGACATTCTGAAGAATGTTTGGAAAACATAGTAGGAACTAAAAAATACTATGGAAGTCGATGGCTGCTTTTTCCAACATTGCCCAGATTGTTTGTGTTTGACGGAAGAAAGAAGCTTAAACAGTTTTGGAACAAGTGGAAGTTGAGCAAATGATAGCATTTTTATATATAATTTTGGGGGGAACTATCTTTTTAAGGCCCTGAAATATTAAAAAAGATCATTTTGTAAGATCAAGGATTCCATAGTGCAATTTCTATAAAAGAAAAACTTTTAGGATATATTTGAAAGGTTTTTAGTAGCATAAACAAACTTTTCTACAAAAGAAACTCCCTCTTTCTAGAACTCCAATCAAATTTTGGCCTGATTTGGCTTTAAAGACTTTGAACATGTCCCAGTTGTAACCTCCTGTGTGTAAAGTGTTCTGTGTGTGTTTTTGTGTTAGAAACACTTTTGAAGCTGTCTATGGAGGAGCTGGTGAAGTTTCTACAGGTGACTCTGTCAAACGATTTCTTTTTTGAGGACGACTTTGTTATAGAGCAGCTTCAAAACTCCATGTCTGAGCTCAGACGGTCTAAACTGGAGCTGCCACCTCCAGGTACATTAAACACACAATGTGCACACACATGTAATCATGGCAAATCATAAGATGTATGGCTATGTGTCACCACCTATAGAAGAACAAATCTTACTGCACACACTATCTGCTGATAATCTCTCTCTGCCTTTATCTCTTATACACACACTCACACTCATTCACTGCTGCTGTGTACTGTTTTGTCTAATCTGCGTTCTCTCCCTTTCGCTTCAAACATAGCCTCTGCTTACACTAGTGGGTCTGGGAAAGGGGGGCGCCAACCCTCCTACAAAACCAACCGGTGGGCAAAAAAGCACTGACTACTTTATATGTCGATCAACCAACCATTCGTCCGTCTACCCCACTACACACACGTCCCTCTCCCCTCGTTTGTTTCTGTCTCACGAATCCTGGATTCAGTTTGTTTCAGTAATGTCACGAAAATGTGTTAAGGTACAATTTGTTACAACATTTATAATTATTACAGCTACTCTGGTTGCACAGCTACAATCATTTTAAAAGGACAAAAAAATGACCAAAACTGTTCAAAATTACCTGTTTCTAAACTCTCTCTCAAAAAAAAAAAGTGCAAGCAGGTTTAAGAAGTGAATAATAATAATAATAATAATAATAATAATAATAATGATTGTCATAATAATAAGCCACACACACACACACACACACACACACACACACACACACACACACGCACACACATATATATATACATACATACATACATACATACATACATCATGCATACATACAACCGTTCTGTCTGGTTCTCGAATCTGATTGGCTGATAACTGAGCAATTTTCTGCAAATAACAGCGCTCTTACAGATCGTCTCCTTGCTCTTCTGTATTACTCCGCCCACATAGAGTGACAGCAGATTAATACACTTACTACAATTTGACAATATTTTAGCTGTTGGACAACATAGTTTTTAAGTTGAACTATGCAGTTTATTTATGAGGACAGTGCCTCTTTAACTATTTATAATTTCTGAGATGCAGCGCGTCGGCGTCCCTCAGCCTGTCATTGAGCAGAGCAGACGGTTGACGTTGTCCATCCCCAAGATGGCGACAGACACCGCATAATAAGCCCTTAGAAGAGAAAAGATTGGCGTATTGTAAGTCGATCATAGTAATTGTAGTGTATTAAGTGTGAGATGGGACTCACATCTTTGTATAACCCTGAGTTACTTTTTGGTTCACCATCTGTTTGTATCTAATGAGTCTCCTATTTTCGTTACTGCAGACTAGTTCAGTAAAAAGACAGAAGGAAGAAATATTCGCATGTGTTTAGCATTAATTATTGTGATATATCGATTGCAACAGAGAAATACTGGGAAATCTCTGCAGACTAATGGCATTTCATGCCATTTAGCCTTATAATCTTGTGCGCAAAATCACCTGTTTTGTCATCTCTTTAGACATTACGCTTGAGAATTATTCAAATCCTAGCTCTAAAGTGATGTTTTTAAGTTAGTAACGGCTTCTGCTGTTCTGTCGTCAGCTGCAGATGTGAATGAATGACGAAAGAAAGTAGTTTCTCATACAAAAGGGTTTCTGAGAGTCTCCATGTTTGATTTTCTTTTTTATACACACAATTATGCCATTGAACTGTTGTATACATGCAATATCACACATATGATATTGCTCATATATATACTTTTCAAACGTACTTGCACTTTTTTTCTATATGTAATTATCCTCAGAACTGTTTTAAATATTTTAACATAGTTGCAATACTAATGCAAAAACAATTACAAAGCGTTAGCATTAACATCATTTTGCCTTCTAAGAAGCCTAATTTTGCACTAGAGCAAGTTTTGGAAGTTTTGGCGGATAGTGATAAATAGTTCAGAACCAACAGTTGGCATTTAGGCTGGTAAATATAACCAGTAAATACAGTTGACAACTGATTGTATATTAAAATCTAAAATAGCAGAGACTGTGGCAAAACATAGATTTTAATCTGCCCAAAATCATCAGTGTAGTAATAATTTGGCTGAAATGCTGATAATAAGCAAGTGACAAACCATGCACAAGCATTTTGATCTAAACCATTAATGCAATTTAGCTAGTAAAATTTGGTAAATATAAGTTTTGGTCCTAAAATATGATAAAGCAGCACTTTGGCTGTTCACGGGTTTGTGTGTATTTGATGTTTTCGTTCCTCACAGCCCTTTCTCAACACACACCAAGTACCGCCCCAACCATCAGTATATGTGTGTGAACGTTCATCATTCCCTTGACGTTTTCTTCAGTTTCCTTCACTGCGAATTTGAACTCGTGCACATGCTGTGTGTTTGAAAATGTACCTAACACATCCTTTCTCCACATGGTTTATATGTTAACAGTCGGGCTTGAACTTGTAAGTGTTGTGTTAATATTGGCATATGTATTTTTAGCTTCCTGAATTCCTCTGTGTGTTCCCACTTTTGAGCTTTGATTTTACGCCAGCCGTGGATGTTTGTGATTTTATTTTATTTGAATGAAGCGTCAACTGTAAATCTTGTTTTATTTGGCAGTTTGGTTCCTTAAAAGACAGTCAGTTGCATGAGTGTTTCACTTCAGTGTTTGTTGACTTTTTGATCATTTAAAGACTCCATGAAATGCAGTTTTCTGGCATACAGAAGCCAAGGATGCCTAAACTCAATCCTGGAGAGCCCTTGTCCTGCAGATTTTAGCTCCAGCTTGCCTCTACAAACCTGTCTCAATATTTCTATTATGCCTTGTAAGACCTTGATTAGCTGGTAAGAGCTAAAATGTGCAAAACAGCAGCCCTGCGGTAACAGGATTGGACAGCCCTTCCCTAAGTTCAAGATGAATCATAAAGGGATAGTTCTCCCCCCCCAAAATGAAAAATTCCTCACCGTTTACTCACACTCATTTGGTTCTAAACTGTTGAAACCAGCAGCCATTGAAATCTACACCAGGTATAAAAATATTGGAAGTGGCTGCTACTTTCCAACATTCTTCAAAATGTCTTTTGTGTTGATAAGAACAAAAACTCAAAAGGATTTAGAAGAAACAAAGGGTAGGGGTGTCAAAATTAATTGTATCTACGGGGACATTGGGATGCAGATGAGGATGATTGGGTATCGGTTTAGTAACAAACCCTAATTGGTTAGAATGTACTGCCTTTTTTTTTGGTTCTGTGGCGAAGGAAGTAAGACAAATGTAAAAGTACCATACTATGGCGAGGGAGGCAAGACAAGTTTAAGAGCAATTAACTATTTTAAAAGCCTACATCTGAGCACATGCTCGTTGAGTTTTCTGGGTCAGTCTTCTACTGACACTGAAAGTACATTGTATTTAATGACAAATTTGCATACGTGAATACAACTGAAAATCGAGAATGTAGTTTTTCGTGAATGCATTGTGATATCAAATTGAACCAAATCAATAACATGATAGTCGTAATCAAATCGTAAGACCAGTGTAGGTTCACAACGCTAGTAGATGTTGAGTTAATAATGACAGAATTTTCATTTCTGGGCGAACAATCTCTTTATTATTTACTTCTGTTTAATAGGAGAGAAAATAGGAAAGTTGTAAAAACTGCATAAAGTTTACATTTCATGGGGTCTTTAATATCTGGTGTTTCTGTGATTCTGTGCTGATTTGCTGCTCTGCTATTACCATGCAGGTAAGGAGGACGAGTACCCTAAGAAACCATTAGGTCAGCTTCCCCCTGAGCCTCCAGGATTGGCAGCAGCAGCAACCAATCATGTGGCTAACGGGCAGCCGGTGGGACAAACAGGAGAGGGTCTCCCCCCTCGTGGTCCAAGCCCTGCCGTAAGTGTCAATAAACGAGTAGACTCTGGTCCCGTCACCGATGGCACACCCGAGAGGTACCAAGACAGTCGGCCGCCCAGCTCACTGGACAAGTTTCATCATCCAGATAAGATTGAGAGGGACGGAAGGGGCGTATACGCTAATAAGGAAAGGGTGCCAGTTGGTGGAAAGGCTTCAACCCAGAACCAGGCAAATCACAACTCCAATGCAAGATCTAGCATGCGCAGAGAAATTGGACCTCGGTGGGTCAAGCCTTCCGAGGGCAAACTGGAAGCAGTCAAAGCTGCAGCACTTCGGGAAAGCCAGTTGAGCCTAGCTACGGGTGTCCCACCCTCACCCAGCTCCCCGACTCCAGATGAGGCCACCGGGGCACAGCGCCGACCCCGTTCACGAGCATTTGCTCCAGGCTCCAACCGGGCTTCCAATGCCTCGCAATACGACAACGTCCCGGGACCAGACGGAGAAGTTATGGAGATTATAGAGCTGGAGAAACCACCCTCTCGCCCCCCATCCCGACCATTCGTCGGACCTCCTTTGAGACAAGGCAGTCCCACCCGCCCCCCTAGTGGTGGAACTGGAGTCTCCCCCTTTAGGGTCCCCAAGCAGAGCATGATGCAGTCCAAACCAGAACCCCGTGCCCCTTTGCACTACCCACCTGGCATGACGCCTGTCTACACTCCCTACATTTCAGAAACCCGTCAAGAGGAGAGACTATACAGCCAGTCGTACACAGAGCAAATTTACGCAACTACAGGACGTGGCTCCTCTAATCCTTCGCCAGAGAAAACTGTGATGAACAACAGCTACTTAACCTACCGACGGCCACCACCAGACATGCCCCCTCTCAGGGTTGCTCCTGCTGAGCTGTCGTCCCAGATTGACAGTGCTGGCGAGGGTGTGTATTACTTGAGACAGCCCACGCGACTGATAGGTTCTCCTGCTTACCCACCTACAGAACTGCGTTACGAGGGAAACAGAAGAAGAGAGGGCTGGTACGGGGATGTGGAGGCAGGGCCTCCGCGGTCTCCTGCGGGAGTACCTCGATCTCCTAGCTTCCAGAAAGCTCAGCTGTCTCCCGTTCATCCAGTTCAGGAGTTTAACTTTGCCCAAGCAAATATCTCAGATGCTGTGCTTCACTTCAGAGGACCCTACCAAGAGCACTCAGGCAGGCAACAGCTCCCCCCACTGTTTGGAGGAGCACACTACAGGCAAGCGCAGGAGGCCTTCGCAATGCAGGAGTCCATGCTGCTCTGAGAGAGACAGATCAAGAGGAAAACACTGTATGAGTGACGACTGGCAAGCAATTGCGTTGGTTTAATGTTTTTGAGTTTATGTTTTGTTTGTTCGTCTGTTCGTCTTACAAGTCTTATCAAGCAAGAATTGCCAGTTTCAGGCATTTCTACCGATCAAAGACCGACTGAAGAATTTTAACTTTTTTTCCGTAGCTTTTTCTTTGTAAAAGAAATAACCATTAACTGCCGATGTGAGCTATATAACAGAGCTTAAATGTGCAAACAGAGATTTGTGTTGTTTGTTTGGTTGGCACACTGAGATATTTAAATGGAGGGTTATGGCGAGTCTTTCTCGTATGGACAAACTCAGTTACTGATCGATTATCATCTATTTTTTTATGCGTTTCAGACATAAGCATGTACTTTAGAGGACACTTTATTCCTTGATTGTGAATATATTTTTTAAGAACAAAGATTTGTGTAGGTTAGATATGTATAGTTCTGAACAACTATAACAGTGAACATAATCGCTGTTAGACAGAGCATTTCAATGCATTACTACAGTGTTGATATGAAAGTAAAAACCTTGTTTGTAAGGTTTGTTTTTGAGGTTATAGATATATATATATATATATGAAAATTCTGATATTTAATTTTAAGTTGAAAGGGACGTTTATGGAGTTTGTGCGATTTTTAAAATCTGACCAGCAAGTAGAGGCCAGATTTCAGTTTCATTTCATCATGGTTAAAACTTTATAAATTAACTGACTGATTTGAGTAAAATCACTGAAGCTGCCATGGACGCGGCCCAGACATGACTACCTTCTGTTATTGTAACTATAGCAGGAAATTCTGTAGGGTGATTTCAAGTAAATTGGGCCACTTTTAACTGATATGTTTGTCTGTGATTCCCAGTGCAAATTATGCAAGTATATACAGTAATAAGTTGTAGCATGCAGCTGATGTGTTAAGTTGGTTGTACCTGTGCTATGTGGAATTCTTCTAATGGATATTTTATTGCATTTTTGAATTTATATTTCACAAAATAGCACAGGTTTTACACAGTCAAGCTGTATAAACGAACCGCAGAGTCTCACTGAATACCATTTCCTAATCTTATTTGTGAAACTAGATTAAAGCTGCGTCACTGTAACCCACTAACCTGGTTTTGAGTGAAGGCCTTTTCATGGCTTCAAAATGTTTTCAAATCATGATTACAAAAATTAAGACAAAATAAGTAGCATCGCTCGTCTATTTTGTTTATCATTCATTCATTCATTCAATTTAAAGTCAGGAATTTCTCTGGAAATGCGATTTACATTGCATGTGTTTTATTCTGTAAACTACTGATGACACATTTTAAATAAAAAATGTAGTCATTCAAGTCACTAAAATGCCGTTTTTGGTGATTTATATATTTAAAATTGTAACCCTGATTGTCAAACATATCAAATTATAGATACATTATTCTGACCAAATTTATTCTGACCAAAAATTAATAGATAAATAAATAAATGAAAAAATAAATAAAAATGCTCTGACTGACAATATTTTAATTTGACATTTGAAATAAATGTTATCAGGCCTTTATAGAATAAAACAAATATTAATATGTTACACTTACACTTACTTTTTTTTTTTTAAACAACATTCCCTCCACCTACAGGGCCATGATAATATTATCCTCTCATGTTCCTGCAGATGAAGACATAATTATGACATAATACATAATAGATGGATTATTTCACAGTATAGCTTAATGACCAGTCCAGAAGTCTTACAGAACTGTTTACGCAACACACTTCTAATGTATTCTTTTTTGATGTTTGCTCTTCTTAATCAAATCGCTGCAAAATAAAATAAAGAATAAAAAATAAACACTCCCTTATTTGTTGTCATATAGACAAACAAGCTAAAATATTATTATCTGCTCTAGTTCCAAATTGTTTCCTGTCATTGCAGTATATTAATACACTTCATTTTGATGCAGTATTTCAGTTCAGATTGTTTGAATGAACATTATTTCTTTGTTAAACTACTAAATGCAACTTGATTATCAGATTTCCCCTTCTCTAATAAAACATGGGGTTATTAAAAAGGAAAGGTCTGCTGTTTTGTTTTTGCATGTGTGAACAGGATCATAACCACCAATAACTCTGAGGATGACGAGTCTCTTTAAGGTGAGAAAACGGATGCTAAAATTGTGCCTTTTTCCTCCCTTTTTTGTCGGTTTTAAGATTTTGGGCTTTTCAAAATTTATTACTGTTTTTACATGTTTTATTTCTTTGTCTTTAGATTCCTTTAAAAATGTTGGATTTTTTTTTTCCCTAAATTAGTTTTTTTTCTACTTAACTGAGCTATAAATCTCCACTTCAGCATGTCTTTGTTACCCCCAATTGCACAAATTTATTCATGTCTATATTCTGAAGGTTTTGTACATAAAGATGTTTATGCATAATTTGCCTGATTATATACAACTTTGCTGCTTTTTCTAAACTAAGGTGGGATTTTAAAAAATCCTGTTTCTAAAAACATTTAATTCCAACAATAATTTTAAAGCTGATTTTATCCAAAGTTCAGATTTTTGTGCTAGGAATGAATGCAAATTTAAAAAAAATATTGCCTAATTTGTAATGTATTTAATGTCTTAAGTTTGGACTTTAAAAAGGTTAAAATTCTTGATGCGATCAATCAACTGATGGATATATATATAAAACATTTCCTTTGAGGTGTTAAAACAACATCGTCAGTTCATTTGTTTTAGAAGGTTTGCTGGATTCTAGAAATCAAGTTTAACTTACCTTTATGTTAATCCTGAACTCTGGAAGTTCTGTCAACTCAGGTTATGTTTAACCAATGCCATTCCTAACAGGTCGCGGAACCCGTGAATCACCATGGAAAGAGGTGCTTCCTATTTCTAAAGAGATTATTTCTTCTTCCGCTTATTTTCCCCCAGCTGTCCATTTTCTACATCTTGATCTTAAATTGTATGCATTATTGCATATTTATGTATTTATCCACTTATCCTTAAATAAATCCCGGTGTGCCAGATAGCATGATTTCTGGAACACCCTTTGGTATGAACTTTTTTTTATCCATACTCATCTTGTTTAAGTCGGTCTAACTATTACCAAATCTAACAGTCCCTTCATTAGGTTTTGCTCATTTGTCACCTCTTTAAAACAACGCACTTTAGAATAATTTGTTTTAGTCTTTTACAAAATAATAATTTAACAGTTATAGCTGGTATTAAGTAATTTAATCGGGTTTAACTGATGTCTCAACCAAGCATTAGTTTTAAGTTTTTTTTTTTTTTCATAATAGAGCATAGTAGTAGAGGCACAGTAGTTTGCTAGAAGCTGTTGGGGGAACTGTGATGATAACTGATAGTTGTTGTTTTTACCCAGTTCACCTACAGCACTCGGAAATGTCAAAGTTATCAAGATGGATAGCCAATCAAATTGAAGCAAGCGAGGTATGCGGTTCAGAGGGCGAACCTGAGGTAAGTTATAGAAAAACATTTTAAGTAGCCTACGACTTTTTGTCACAAATAATGTCATTTGAAATAACATTTAGGATACTATATTTTTATGGGTTCTATGTGATGTGGCAATTGTGGTGTTGGGCATAAATAATATATCTGCATAGCTTAAAAAGTAGGCTATTACGCTATTTGGGAATAAAGTTTGAATCGACCAATTCTCAATGAGAACTTTCGTACGTAAAACAATATTTTGTTTTCTATTCTACTTAGTTAATACATGTACTTGTATGTAATGGCACATTTTCACTGACAAGTAAACATCAAGCGGTCAAGTGGAAATTATCAATTGTTGAATTTTTGGTTACACACATTTTTGGATCGTTTAACTCTTTAGTCATGTTTAGGAGTTAACTTTACACATTTAAAGAACTTTTATACACTACTGTTAGGAATTGGAGATAGGCTACTTATGTAGAAGAAACAATAACCATCAACTAATTTCAAAGTAGTAGCCAAACTGCAATACAACATCTGAATATCCGTATTCATGGTGTTTGCGAATTTAAAAAATGTTTTAAATTACAAAAACTAAATTTTAGGCCTTGAAAAGTCTTAAATTCACCGAAATTTTGAGTTGTAGGTCTTAAATAATTGAAAACAGCTCCAATTGTTCCTTTGTTCATAAAAACAATCGGTCCAACATGCATTCAATCACCAACTATCCATCTGAATAGAACTTATTTATAACTCTATTTACCAATATGGTTTAATTACCGTTCTTAAAATAATGTTTGTTTAAAAGTTCTCTGCTTATTTATAGTGTATAGTAAGGACACTGACCTAGACATGTTGTGTGTTCATTTAGTTTATTATAGTTTTTAAAGATTTGTATGTAAAACGTGTATGCATACAACAAGGGTTTGCTTGTATTCCTAATTTATTTAAAACTTGTGGCTAAGAAATAACTTAATATATGATATATATAATAATAATTAAAGTTCTGTAAAGGCTAAAATTTAATTAATAATGGTATTAAAAAGTCTTACCTTTGATTTTGTGAAACCTGCAGAAACCATGATATTGTAACTTGTTTGTAACATCTAAACTTTTAACCTGTTAATATTTACTGTAACTTTGCATTGGCAGCATTTTTGAGTACTCCCTATGAATTGACAAAACTAAATAATAGTGAATCCTAATTATTAATACTGTACACTGCAAAGATAGTATTTAGCAAAAATATATATCTTATTAACGTAAATATAGTTTCCTAATAATTTATTTTGGAGTTATGATGAGATCTCGTTCAGTTCTGTGAAATATTACAATAGTACACACTCGTGATAAACACAAGATGGCGCTCTCTGATTAAAGACTTGATATAAGCAAAATATTTATACAAGAGAGCACAATAAAACATCATTCAAATTGCTGTAGGTTTACCAAAAATGTTTTAGAAGTTAACTGTATTCATAACAGTGAAAATTAAGATAGAATCTTGATTACAGGTGACTTTATTGAAAATCTTGATTATAGGTAACTTTATTGAAACTGTAATGCCACTGGTTAATATTAGCCCTTATATATTGACCATTTAACTGTTGAAAATACTAAAAGCTAAGAGATAAATAAATAAATAACCGTCATGGTACTAGTAATGGTAAGGTTGTGGGTGCAATTTGCAGACACACTTGGTGATAAATGGCATTTCAATCTCTTATTTCCAAACCAAAGTTATTTCCAAAACAGTACATTGCGTTGAAAACAATAGATTCATTTTTACAACCTGAGCAAATACTATTCTAATAATAACAGTGCCTAAAGTGTGTTATCTCATAATAAAACAGCCATTGTTTCCAGTCCCCATGACGTCTTTGTTTCAGCTTTACATATTCAAGTCAATGTGTTGCTCATTTGAGTTTGAAAACAGTAAAGAGCCAGATGAGAATATGTGAATTTGATGATGTGATGATTAAGTACTGAAACACAGAAGGTGTGTGGTGATGAATTTAAAATGTAAACATATGTTTTGTTTTTCCTGACCAAATAAACAGGAGATGACTAGAAACGTGGAGTTTGCCTTCAGGTCACAGGAAAAAGCAGGAACCTTCTTGCTTTTGAGTGTTTTGTGTATATAATTTATGGGCATCTTGTCAGCATTCACTCTAGGCTAGAGCTGCTGATTTATACTGTCATATTTGTTAACCTATTGTTTACAAAAATTGACTAGAAAATAAGTCATTGGCCTAATAAAAAGCGGGACCTGAAGCAAACAGAAACATGTTTGCAGTGGTTTAAAGTGTTTTGTTTAGACTAACTAGGCTCTTAACCATATTAGTGATAGATAGATAGATAGATAGATAGATAGATAGATAGATAGATAGATAGATAGATAGATAGATAGATAGATAGATAGATAGATAGATAGATAGATAGATAGATAGATAGATAGATAGATAGATAGATAGATTGATTGATTGATTGATTGATTGATTGATTCCGTCAACTCAGACTATGTTAACCTTGTTGACTTGTATGTTAACTAGAATGCAGAAACCACAAGTCACCATGAAAAAGATGCTTTCTTCTTCAGTTAAATGGTGAGTTACATACTTTTATGCTTAGCTTCCCTTAATTGTGAATTATTATATGATCTTAAATTGTATGCATTTATATATCATATTTATGTATGTATTTATATGTGTTGTTGTTGTGAATATGACGCTATTTACACTTTACATGAAAATTTATAATGGTCTGTTTTGCTTTCACTTCTGTTAAAAGATGAGATACATTTTTATAATACAGTTCCATAATAAATACATGTAATAGAAAGCTTAAAAAATACGTTTTATTGAGAATTTTTCAAATATATTAATAAACGCACACATACAATGCAACAAAATGCTGGGTTCTACACAGTCGATTTGTGTTGGGACAACATGCAGGAATTAAATTAACTTATTACTTTATTACAAAGTGGACTGAACATAAAACAATTAAGTTGTCTCAAAAAAATGTGTTGCTTCAGCTCATTTTGAATAAGTAGTTTGACCAAACAACAAACATCATTGTGTGTGTGTATAGCTTAGAGAACTAATCCTTAAGCAAATCTTGGAGCAGGTTATGTTCAGAGCATAATTATGTTTGGAACAGAAAGCTGAGGTAATCCACTTTCATATCCTGAAACGTATCCAGGTATGTCAGATAACTTGCTTTTAGGAACATCTTCTGTTCTCAACTGTTTGATCCATAATCATCTTGTTTTAGTTGGGATGGTTATTACTAAGTCTAACAGTCGATTCATTAGTCCACGCTAGGTTTAGCTGATTTCTTCTTCACTCCAAAAATTATTTACTAAGTTAAATTAAATAATTAAAAGAATGTTTATCAACTGATAAAGAGGAGTTTAATAAAGACTTTCATTTATTTTAGCCATAGTGCAAATGAAACGTGTCTCATATATCAATATTAATAAAAGATGGAACACTGGCTGTAGTTTTTCTGACTACAGCCGGTTTCAACTGAAATTGGACAGGCTACACTCAGAGATTATAGGAAAACTGGCCGGGTTTTCAAATACTTTTAAATGTAGCTGTTTATTCTGCTGATAG